GAAGAGCAGCTGTAGCATTGTCATCTCATTTCACATAGAGCTTGTTACTCAGATACCGTCTCAGTTTAAGGCAAGCTCTGATAATCTCAGCGTACAAACTAGGGAAAAAGTTCTTTAATACGAGGGTGACAGACCACTGGAACAGGCTGCCGAGAGAGGTGGTGGAAGCCCCATCCCTGGAGACATTCAAGGTCAGGCATGAGGCTCTGAGCAGCTTGAACTAGTTGGAGTTGTCCCTGCTTATTGCAGGGGGGTTGAACTAGATGACCTTTAAAGGTCCCTTCCAACCCCATACATTCTATGATTAATATTTTTATCATAACTATTTGAAGTAGTAAGGAAAGTCCTGGACAGCAAACATGTCTATTCTCTCTTAAAAATAACTTACATTTTGCTTCTCTCTTTTCCAGGTGTAAGCATCTCTGCATCATCCTCTCTGGAAAGCAAAGGGAATGTTTCCTTGTTGGGAAATAGGAGGCTTTTTTTTGACACTCATGTGCTGGTATGCCTCTTGGAAGAAAATGGTAATTTGCTAGAAACAAGTACCTATTTTTAATCTCATTTTATGAGTGATTTTTCACTTTGCAAAATTTTTTACTTTGCCTTGACATGTCATGTTACAGCTTCAGTTTTCTGGATTTTATAAATAGTGGGTAGGAATGTGTAGGGTTTTTCTACTTCCAAAACAGTAAGCTTATATAACTTTGATTGGAATAATTTATTATTCTGCTGGTAATTAAAAATGTTCCAGAGAAATTAAATTTTAAACATTGAGAGTAAAAAAAGCAAGTTTTCAAGGTAGTGGTTTAAAAAGTATCAATCAAATTCCTAGTTCTATAGCACCTTGAATCTGAAACAATGTATTATAACAGGATTGAATATGGACTACTATAAAATGCAGCTTTTAGGGCAGAACCTAAAATGCTATGTTAAATACGGCAGCTCATAAAACATAGATAAGGGCATAGTTTATTTTGAATCTGTGATAATGTTGCTGAGCTGGGAAAGGTACCTTAAGGTGAAGTTCAGGACAGCTGAACTGACTTCTGACAGCTCTCCATCCCTGGAAGGGATTGCTCCTCTGCCATGTGGCTTCATCTCTGTGTGCCCACCTAATTCTCAGAAAACTCTCCAACTCTTTTGTTTGGTTGATATTCTGAGACCCTAATTTAATGAGCTCACAGGGCAGTTGTGTGAGCACCAGGACACATACAAAGTGTCAGGAGGAAGGATGAGAAGACAGAGAAAGGAGAGGTATCTTCTCCTTTTGGGAGTGGCAAACTATTTTATCAGTTCAGCTATGGAAAGCAATGTGCTCTCAGACCCCATATGTGCTTTCTGATGCCTAACTGCTGGTTATTTTGAAACAATCCTGCTTTTCCAAGTGTTCTTTTCATAATGATTAAATCTTGCTCATGATGCTTTTACTCCTGTATTTTGGAAGTGGTAAGAATATTAAGTTCTAAGAATATAAGTTTTTAAGGATATATAGTTAAGAATATTTTTAGGGACAATATTTTACAGTAGCTCCCAAGATACTTGATTTTTAAAGTTTCTAGTAGGGACTCAGAGGCTGGTAGGCCTAGAATCAGAGCAGTTAGCTCTGTATGTAGTTGTTTTGCAGTGGTACTGAAGATTTATGGTATACTGAAAGTAGATGTCTGCTTTTCAGGGCCAGAATTCTTGCTCATAGAAATAACCACATGTGAGAGAGGAAATTCCATAACACTTGTGGAAAATCCCCAGTGTTTATCCTGCTGATACTGTAGCAGTGCTGTGCTACAGAAGCTGCTGTACTATGTCACAGATGTAATTTTGGGGTGGGTGAACTTGGACATACTGACAGATTGTGCTCTTTCGTTAGTGCTGCATAAAGGTGACTGTGTTTTATTGTCTTTTGTGATTGACATTTGTTTTAACTTGATGCTGAGTATTAGCAAGTGGCATTTCTGTAAACTGTCCAGACTGAGGTCTCTCTCTGAAACTTGTTGTGTTGTGTTTTGCTCAGGTTTCACTACTCGGCAGTCGGAGGTCATTGTGTCTGCATTAGTGAAAATTATGAACAACAACCTGGATATGGTTTACAGTGACATGGTGACCAAAGTACAGCAGGTTAGATCAGAGACAATGGTGGGGTTAAAGTGACTGAAAACCTACTATGCCTGCTAATGAAATATGTTGCTGCTTATTACTATAAGATTCCCTCAGTTATTCACCACCCAGTTAAGTGATACCTTTTTATTCACCTCTTTGTGTCACAATGACCTGTATATTGTATTGGAATCGAGCTGAATTGCTTTTTTTTTTTTTTTTTATATGATACTTTTAGGGTGTGACTGGTTGTATACAGTGATAAGATACAGGAACATGTCTAGTTTGGATGCTGATGTTGCAGTTTGTTTCCCTTTCCTCTGATGCATACGTTGTTCATGGTGTCCTCTAAACCTACCCAGCATGTACATTTTGGTGGGAGGAAGTGCAGAAAACTTTCTTGGAAAGAGATTGGTAAAGCTGAATATCTACATAAATCCTTCCTGGCTGCTAGGAAATTAGGTACAACTGAACTGAATTGTTAGTTTTGATTTGTGAGGGCGTGGTTGTTCTCATGAATAATTGTCTAGAGGTAAGGCTTGTTCTAATACTGGCTGTGATTTTTTTTTTGGGGGGGAGGCCTTGGTCAGGTCATCCAAAGGTAGGTCCATGTAAGGAATTGGACATAACAGTGTTGAGTATTGCCACATTTTGTTCTTGGGCATCTGGCTCCAGAAACAGAAACCAAAATCCATGTCTTAACGTGATTCACTGCAAGTGGAAGTTAAGCCTCTTTGAATGGGATTCACAATAGCTGGTGTGCTGGAATTCCATGACACAAAAGCTGGTCAAACAGACAATGCTGATGAGTAGCTGAAACACAAGTACTTGGGCTGCTCTGTGGGGCCAGGGTTCACAGCCCCAAGTCACCTTCTGAACACAGGCTTTAACTCATTTCATAGTAACTAGGCTGCTGTGTTAAAACATGAGGAAACAGCAGCTGCTGTCTTCATAGTGTTATAGTCTGGGCTGTAGAGCATCTCATTAAAAAGTGGGGTACCTGGATTTTGCACCCTCTTCCATCTAGAGAGGTTTCAGCCTATCCTTCCTAGCTTTTAGATTCCAGGCAAAGCAGGTGTGGGAGTGCCTGCTCCTCCTGTACTGAATTTTTTCCACAGTCACTCAGGGAGTGCAGTGTTAAAGGGACCCTTTGTCACATGGCTGGTTGTATATTACAGTAAGCAGTCTACAGTAAGCAATCTTGCCCTCCTATGGCTAGCTTTTTAGAATGAAAGTAAACACATTTGCCTTTGGTTTCTGCTGGATTAAATGTTGCTACTGATGGTAGCTGTTTTCTGAGGCTGTTAGATTTGAGCCCCACATGACTCTATTAACATTTAAATGTGCAGGTCTGTACAGTGTAAGATAGAAGCAGCTCAGGAGGTGTGTGTGCTGTGAACTCCAGGCAAGGTGACAAACCTGTGCTTGCTTACAGTCTTCAAATGCACAAGGGCTTATGCAAGAAGAGAATGAAGAATTAGAACAAGGTTTGGAATGTTGTGGATGTAGTTATTGCCATTAGGCCATAGCTGATATGTAAAAGATAAAGTATTGCACTGGTTAGATAAAACCTAAGGGGAACAGAAATCCATGTGTGTATGTATAGAGATGAGGAAGAGAACAAACAAGGAAGATTCTGTTCTTTTTTCTGAGTTCACTGAAGAGGGATGAGAACAGAAGCAAGCTGGAGATGTCAAGGAGTGAGAGAAAAGTTGTCCATGTCCATGGCAATACTTTCTGCAGGCTTTCTGTAACATGTCCAGTACACTGACTTATTTTTTTTCAAAAGTTTTGTGGTCAGGTAGCTTGGTGAGCCATCTGCAGATTCCACTTAAAAATATAACACTGTTAGAATAGCATTTCCTGACAAAAGTGGAGTTAGAGTGTTGTGTCAGATTCAAGGGTTCTTAGTCCAGAATTGAAAGCAAAGGACTACTTTGAGAGGGAGCTCTTCAGGGAGGAGAAGGTAAGCCCTCTTTGCTTACATGGGTAGTGTAGGATCTAGAACAATGTCTACAGACTTTTTTTTGTCCTTCAGAGTTGCAGAGGATTCTCATTTGTCTTCTGTCAACTCAGTATAACAGAAGAGTAATTAGAAGTAGAGTGCATGATTCTAGGGAGCAAAGTAGAGGGAGCCCCTTTGCAGGAGGAGGTGAAAAAGGAAGGAATTACAAGAGTGTAGTCTGAAAGCCAGATTTCCTCATTTAGCTCAGAGATGCCTCTTCTCTCCCTAGTGTCTTTGCTAGCTTAAGAATTTGAAGACTTGGACAAAACTATTTCCTAGGCTGTTAACTGCATTATTCTGATCTGTGCTAGCACTGCTAATTTTGTCAGACATTATCAACTTGCTTATTTTGTCACTGTCACTTAATTTATCTTGCTTTCTGAAACTCAACTAATCAATCTGAAATTGCTGAATTAAGAATGTCAGGGTACCAAAATAGCCTATCATCTCTGTAGGCACAGATGAGAAAAAGCACTATAGTTCTGATATGTTCTGAGTTGGATTTTTTTTTCTCTCCCCTCTTTTAAAGGAAATTGCATTTCAGCAAGTAATGTCCCATATTGCTGGCGTGAAAAAGGACATGATTATTTTGGAAAAAAGTGAATTTTCAGCACTTCGTTCAGAAAATGAGGTAAATATCACTGTCTTGGAAAGTGCTATTCTAGCACTTTCTTATTTTTTCTAGTGATGTAAGAAAGCTTCTTGTACTGAAAGGCTGGCTCTGGGGCCAGTATGGTTTAACACCTTCACTAGTGACCTTGTTGATGGGGCAGAGTGCACCCTCAGCAAGAACACAGGGGACACAGGGCTGGGAGCACTGGCTGAGGCACCAGGCAGTTGTGCTGCCATCCAGAGGGACATCAACAAGCTGGGGAAATGGGATGACAGGAATCTCATGAGGTTGAACAAATGGAAATGCCAAGTCTTGTCCCCAGGGAGGAATAACCCCAGGCACTAGGGCAGGCTGGGGCAAACCTGCTGGGAAGCAGCACTGCAGAAGAGGCCCTGAGGGTCCTGGTGGTCACGGGGCTGACCATGAGCCGGCAATGCGCCCTTGTGGGGTGGCCAAGAACCTCCTGGGCTATGTTAGGAGGGCTGCTAGTGGGTCAAAGAGGGAATCCTTCCCCTCTGCCTGGCACTGCTGAGACTTCTTCTGGAGTGCTGGGTCCAGATCTGGGCTCTCCAGTGCAGTGGAGACCAAAAAGTGTCCAAAGCTGAAGACTGGACTTCCAGTGCAGGCTCATAAGTGCTGAACGTGGGAAGATCATCGCTTCTCCTGGCCTGCTGGGTTTGCTGTTGTTAGTAACATCCCATGCATTTGGACACCTCTCCTGCTGTGGGACATTGCTAGCTTCTGTCTTGTGGTGTTTTTTGGAAATGTCCAGTACTGTGTATATATGTCCATATACTGAGGACATGGAGTTAAACCACACTTGGTTTTCCTGCCTTTTCACATTATGGATTGTGGTCACTGTAACTGATCATTTCATCTCATTAGTATTTCTAGATTATTTGCTTTTATATACAGTAATAAAATGTACATGTTTTTTTTCTGCTCTTCCAGAAAATAAAACTTGAACTCCAGCAGTTAAAGAAGCAAATCATGGTAAGATACCATAGCAATATAGTTAAGAATTAACACCTGCCTAATTAGTTTTTATTTAAAAAAAAAAAAGTTGTTTTCAAGATTTTATTTTAAAAGCTATCCTTAATTGCTGTTACATACAGGATACTGAAGTAGTCGATGGTACACTGTGGGCTGCAGCAAAGACAATTTTATGCATGCTTCATTTGTGGTGACAGAGAACTGTGAATGGTACAAGAGATGAAGAAAAAATTAACTGGTTTCACTTGTGTGTCCTTAATTCAGATTTAGGAAGTGGCTGCCTTGTCATGGTTAAGGCTGAGTGAAGTTTTGCATTTAGGGCTGCCTGTTACACACACAGATGAAACATCATTTTAAAATAACAGTAATTACTGATTGGTTTGAATTTTGTTTTTGTTTGTTTTTCTCTGAAGACTTAACTGTAAGCTGTCCAGAATGTAAAATAGCTTTTAAATGGCTTCATTAGGCCACTCAGTTTGGGAATGTTTGCTCCCATTTGTTGGGGAGCAAATGACCATTGTAAGAGAAGAGACTTTGTAGAAAACTTACTCTTTCAGTTATCATACAGATTCTTTTGTAAGATTTAAGCATGAGGGCTGTGTTTCTGTTCTTTATGGTTTGGCTGTCTTGAGTAACACCACACACCCTTACCACCATAAAACATGTCTTAAAATCTATTATTTCAATCTGACTTGAGAACTGCCTTTTCCTGCTACGATGCCCTTCTTAGTTGGAAGGGTGGAGCACTCCACCTTTCCTAGGATTTGTCCATGAAACCATCCTGCTGGACTTGTTGAGCAGGCTGACAGTGTGGTCAAACTCAGCCTAGCACCTCTTTGCCATTTCTTTCCTATTATCCCCAATTTCTTTTTGCACTGTCATCTCCAAAAGGATAACATAAATTTTTTCAAGGCTAATCCTGCATGTTTCATACTGTGTTAGGAAGTGTTTAATGCATGTGGGATTTCAGAACACTATTTTTAAACACATTTGACATCTAATTTTTGAACTGTAGCTTATTTTATGGTTTTAGTTGCATGTAAATGAATTGGTGTAATCCACTGGTAGACCACCAAAGATCTGAGTCATCTCTTCTTAAAACTTAGATGTCTTTAGATTTTACTTCCAACTCTAAATGTCATCCTTGCAAGGACAGGTTATTTTGTTTTTTCACACTTGTTCCTCTGAAAGACAAAAGGGTACAGTATTGTAAAAGTTTAAGAAAAATGTCTTTCTAATTTTTGATTCATTAAACTGTAATGTGTCGTGTTGTGATGACTTCTAATTATAAACCAGTTAAAGTTCAAAAATGTAGACATAGAAATTGAGTCTAATTATTGTTCATATTAACTTAAGTCTTGACTAGTTGACATCGACCTACTTGAGAGATGCTTACTTGGTTTTAATAGAAGAATCTCCCAGAACATCAGCAATCTTTTGCTCCTCCCACACATTCATCTGCTTAGCAGTTTTGTGCATGACAAACTGTCAGCTGGCTGGAATTCCTGGCAGGAGGTTGCATTAAAATGGCAGCTGTCACTGGGAAAAGCAGGAATTGCATACAGCTATTGAAGAAGTAAAATGCAAGTGTACAATTTACAGTAGTTTTAAAAAGTTAGGTGTTTAAAAATATAATAAACTTTTCTTGACTCCAAAAATGTCTGTAGCTTTTTCTGAAAGCCCTAGATGTAGTCTTTAGAAACAGATAGTCCTCTACATTGGAAAGTTAGAAACTCCTTTTAAAGTTACTTTGAGCATCAAGGTTGCTTCATGGAGAAAGTCCCAACTTAGATGTGTACCTAGGCATGGATTTCTAGAAACCAGAGAGGGTTATGGAATACATGAAATATTGCCAGCAGTTATGGAAGGATGTGCTCTCAATTAGTGCTGTTGCCAGTGTTCTGGTTTTAAAAGTAATTATTAATTTTTGATTCTGAGATCCAATTCGTGCTATAGAACTTCAGTATTTTTCTGGGGAAGAATAGGAATAATTATACTTTTGAAAATTATGCACATTAATTGGAGAGAAGCTTTATTCCTGAGATTAGCAAAGAAAGGCATGATATATTTGTCTGTTTTTTTCTGCTTATGATTAAATAGAAAAATCTTGCTTGCTGCTTTATCAATCTTTTTCCCATTAGGATGAAATTACCAAAGTTCGTGCAGATAACAAGTTAAACCTAAATCTAGAGAAGAGCAGAGTAAAAGAATTGGTAAGTTTTGGTTACTTTCTTCTGAAACATCTCAGCATTGAGTAATCTCCAAATTTGGGTAAGAGCATCTTACCCAAAGAACATTTTGATATTAATCTACAGTATCATTCAGCTTCAAGATGGTATTAATCCAAGTTACTCATCCTTATGCTGCTCTAATACAAGATGCCATGTTTGATTTATATGTCTATCTATTTTGATACTGATTTAATATCAGGATTAACACATCACACTTAAATATATTTAGATATTTAGTCTAAATATGCTGACTAGATGCCTAGAGTTTTTCTGTGTTATTAGTGTATCTCTTTCTGCTTAATTAAATTTACACATTTCATTAAGTTTATTAATCATTGTAGATGTTTCATTTCTCTATAGCTAGAGAATTTCTAACATAGCCAGTTTGTCAGGAAATCTCTATTGTGAAAACAGCTGTAATTTATTTTTATTTTTTTAATTGTAACTGATACTGGTCAGATTGTTCTGAACTTTGAACTACCTGGTAGAACTGAATTGATGTCACCTTCAATTAAAATAATGTAGATGAAGGATTAGTACTTTTGCATTATATGTACCACTCCATCTGTGGGAACAGAACTTTAAATATTTTTTAATAGCTTTTAGATCTCAAAGAAATTGCCTTCTAAATTGAAATATCTTTTAATTACAATTTTCTATTAATATAATTTCTTATTCAAGTCCTTTTCATGGATGTGTAATAAAGACAAATATTTATCTCCAATCTAGGCAATAAGAACTGTTCAAGTAGATATATCATTTTTCTTCTTTATGTACCCCTTGGAAGTTTTTCCACAATGATTAGTTTAGTTTATGGCTGTGTCAGTGATTCAGTGTCATGACTGCCAGTCTGTTATCCTATGGGAGATGCTTGAATAAGGCACAATTAGAGGGGAAAATTGTTGTGTAAAGGTTATTACTTCATGCTACTATTTTAAAAAATCATCAAATGGAATGTGTGGATCACAAGCTTTGCAGTGCTCTGGACTTACCAAACCTAGTTAAAACCACTTCACCAGTGCTAAACTGGGCACTAGTGTTTGCTTGTGTATTTATGTGGGATCCTGGAATCTGAACTCTGCTTATAGTGTGGGACAGTACCTTATTTTGACTGTCTCCAGGGAAAAGCAAACAGTGCATGTCAACCTTCTCTTAAGAAGATTGAACCAACTTTATTTCCTGTTGTACAACTATAATTTCATAGTTTCTGTGAAAACCATTCTATTCTTTTTTTTTCCTCCCTGCACTCCTCCCTCGCTTTAATTGCCAGCTCTGCCATGCATGGACAGAAAAGGGAAAAGGGAAGTGAATGGGGAGCAGGTTGTGGCACACAGAGTTGGGGAGAGAGGTAATCCAGTATGCAGAACATCATTAACATATTTACTTCAATTGTAGTGGGACTTGGGACTGGATCTCTAGCTTTCCAAGAATAAAACTCAGGGTTCCTAGTTGGAGGTTACTGTACATTCTTCCTAAGTTACTGTTCAGAAGACAAATGCCTTAACTGATCTAACTTGAAGCACTACATAAAATATTAAAATCATAGAATCATAAGTAAAATATTCTTTGCCTTCAGTTTTGCTTGGAATAAGTATTGAAGGACAGTTTCTTAATTTATTAACACTGATGTGGTCAGTCTTCAACATTTCAAACTCCAAGTACTGTATCTTTTAATTAGTTCATTCCATTTCACGTTTCTTGGAGAATCCTACATTGCTTACTGCACATCTGTTTCTGCTGTGACATATAGCTGCAGTGATACAGGTGTGATTTTAAAACCTCAAAGTAAAGTACAAATTTCATATCTAGTTCATATGTTCATGCATCACAGTGCCTCTAAGCTTGCTGTTAAAAATCTCAAGATGCTGCTGACAACACTGAATTTTCTCTGCACTATGAAAAATGTGGACTTTTGGGAAACCTCCCTGTTGAATTTCAGGGGGAAGTTTAACCTTGTCTTTCCTTTGTTTGTGTATGGTGTTTTTTTTTATTCACGGGTGTTATTACAGACATGTGGTGATGCCCTGCAGTAAAAGGGTGTATTGCACTGACTTAAACATAAGTTCAAAATCCTTGTGTCTGACCCAGAGAGTTCTAGCCACAAAGCAAAACTTTTATCAAGCACAAACATCAAGAAAGAAGCTTACAGAATATAAATTATTCAGAAAATATGTATTGGGCTAACAGCATCTACTTAAAGTAAAACAGATGAACTATTCCAGTCCATTAAATGGATTTACGTAGATTAATCCAAGATCAATATGAAATTGGAATAACCTTCAGAATGGAGTTAAAATAAAACAACTTTCCACATGGGAATGTCAACAGACGAGGTTATTGCTGTGCAACTGAGCATTTTGAGATGGGTGCCTGATGACCTTAGGACTCTGCACTAGAGACTGGTGATTTAGCAGGTGTCTGCGAGTTGCTCCAGTAGTGGCACAGGAACCATTATAGGTGTAGCATATGAACCATTATTCAGAAATTAAGACCTACCAACCTTTCTTCCAGCTGCTGTTAGTATATGCAGCTTTTTCAGAAGGTGGATGTCTGATGAACTTGTTGCACTTTACAGTTCAGAGGTGTAGATGATCATCTTACCAAAGTTGTGCTTTTCCAAAGGACAGCAATTATCCTACAGTACTATCTCCCAAGTGTTATCAGACAACCTTGTCCAGATTCAGTGTTCTACAGAATTTGGAAACAAATAAATATACTTTTAAATGGAGAATGGAAGCTTAATGACAATATCATGTTTATCTTTTTTTTTTTCTTTCCCCCTCTCTAGTACTCACTTAATGAAAGAAAACTACTTGAAATGAGGACAGAAATAGTGGAATTGGTAAGAACTTGGTAACTGGTTATTACACAGCAAATCTTTTTGTACTGTTGTTATAGACCTGGTATTCTTTATTGAGTACTTTATGTCTTTAGGCACTTCAGTGTACAAAATGTCATTGTGCTTTATTTCCCTGTGTATTTTCATGTTGGTACCAGTAACTGAAATGTCTGCAGAATAAAGAGGCTTATTTATATATATTTGAAAAATATATCTATTAGAAAAATATACCTATAAATA